AGAAGAGAATATCCTGATCCAGGGTTAGAGCAAATCCCTTGCTACTAATTATCATTCTTCAATGGTTTCTTTTTTACAACTCTTATCTGATGGCGTATTGCCTAAGGCATTTGACTGCTAACCAGAAGGCTGGTGGTTCAAACCCACCAGCCACTCTTTGGAAGGAAGGTTCGGCAATCTACTTCTGTAGGTTGTAGGGGAGGGGTCGCTGTGAGTTGGATCCAACTCCACAGCAGTGAATTTGGTTTATCTCTATAAATATAAGTTTGAAGATTATAAGGACTATTTTTTCTGGCTCATTTGTTTCCTAGAATCCAGAGTGTGATACATAGTAAAGATAGGAATGATTTCTTGGTTGATTAATAACACTTCTCTGAGGTAAAGCCATTTCTTCATGCCCATCGTTTTGAACAGTTCTTATTTTTCTAGTCTACCATCTTTTTCCACTAAGCCCAGCATGCAAAAAATAAATTTCCAAATTCAAAACAGCGCTAACAGATTTCCCAGCCACTTACAAGGGAATGCCTGACATTCTTGCTATAAATTTCCGGTTGGTAAATAGAGAAACTTAACTTCAAGGTTTATATTTGACTTTGGTTTAACTGCATAAAGTCTTAGAAATTAATAACAACAATGAACAAAAAGCAAGTGAAGGGAAGAGAAAAAGAGAGAGAAAAAGAATAGTTCCAACAGGTGGACAGCAGGAAACTTTTACACAGCTTCTATCTTTTAGGGCTCAAGATATAATTAATAATCATCTTTCATGCTCTTCTTTAATGCAGAGAAGAAAATACATTCTTTTACCAGATTATAAATGTTTCTGAAATGTTTATGATGAACTTTTAGAGCTGCCACATATTTACCAAATACTTTTATGTCATTGTTCATAATAATTATGCTTTAGCATGGATTTGTCAGATAGTAGAATTATTTTCATTAATAGATGAAGAATCTCAAGCTCCGAGAAGGTAGCACCAGATCCAAATCCACAAACCTAGTAAGATGAGAACCTAAAATCATAGTGACCCCTCCTTGGATTTCTGAAGCGGTATCTTTACAGAAGTAGATTTTCCAATCTTCCTTCCAAGGAGTGGCTGGTGGGTTT